CCACCAAAGGGCCACCCCTGCAACCCCGCTGTCCACTGGCAGCTGGCCCAGAGGGGCAGATGCCTCTATTGGCTCTTCAGTCCCCATCCGAGTCTGGCAGGTGCACAGCAGGTCACAGCCAGGCAGCAGCCCTCACTGCCAGACTGCTGCATTGGGTAGAGGGTGCAGGGAACTCTCAGGGCTGCTTCAGCGGTCCAGCTGGCACAAGGGGTTGGGTCCCCAGGTACCAATTGGCTGGGCTTCAGAAGCTCCTGAGAGCGAGTAGCCCTGAGCTGCTTGCCAGGCCAGCTTTTTAAACTGCTGGGGCCAGGACAGGGCAGCTTTTTATATTGCTGGGGACAGCACAGGTGCTGGCCTCAGGCTTTAGCTCCCCCGGCTGCAAATCCGGGAGGAGCCGAGCAGAGTTATTTTGCCCCAAGTGGCACAATTTGCTCCACAACAAAGTACATGTCCGAGCACGTATGCTGAGGCAAAAAGCCCCGGCTCAAATTTGCACCGCTTCTATTTGAGCTGCTGCAAGCATGCATGCTTGCATGTGTGGGCATGCCCAAAGAATGCAGCAACCCAAGCATCCAGAGCAGCAAGAGAAGCCAAGCTCAACATGGCCAAGAGCACCGTGCTCAGCATTGGCTGCATTTAGACAACTTTATAGTTGATTTCCATTATTAAGCACATGTTGCTTTTAACAGCAGTTCAGAAAGAGACAATGTATTTAATGCAGCTTCCTTGTATACAAATGTAATACGAGGGACTCCTCCCCACCCCCCCACCCCATGTTGATTAGGGGAAAAAACCTCTTTGTGTATTCAAGTAAATATGGTATTTTTAAAAATTTTGTTTTCATTCAAATACTAGCTCTCCTGCCCAAATTTGAATTTCTTTTTTTGGATTTTTATATTTCAGTACGCCTCATCCCCTCCAGATGATCAAGAAACCAGATTTTTTCTAACATTTTTATTTATTTATTTATTTATTACACTTTTGGATGCAACCTTATATCTTCAAAAACTCACATTTGTGCTCAAAAGTCAGCGGAGTTGTAGTAGCTTGTTTTGTACACACAAGCATTGTACAAACATTATGACTGACATTTTAAAAGAGCCAGTTTTTTTAACAGAATTTAGGTGCCTAGCCACCACCAAAATCAAACACCTTTAAGGATCCTTGTTAACGGGATGATAATGAGACCTGAGTTAATAATTTGCAATGGAAAATTTGTTCAAGGAATTTAGTCTTTTTTCTTGCTCATAGATTGGGTTTAGCTGAACGTTTTTATTAGTTGAATATATTCAGCAATCTTCTTTTCATATTCTCTGCTCTATGGAAAGATAGATACTCACATTTCAAAATGTGCTCCCTGGCTCTTGATTAGTCAGATGCATTACATTGGGTATGCAAAGCAAGGTTGGGTAGAGAGCAGTGCACTAATTCTAAACAAGTAGGTGCAATGCCATACACATATTTTACCTTGGATCTTGGTACAGCTGTGTCCATGTGGCATGCTGTTCAGGCTGTTAACTATACTACTACCGATTCTGGACCTACTGTGGCACTGCACTGCACTGTATGGGCATACCGAGGATACTGTTTCTTGTTCCTGGGTAGATAATTGCTCAAGCTCTTTTGGCATGAATACTTGCAGTGAAAAGGCATGAGGGTTTATTAGATTTTCAAGGGAAACACAGGTCTCCTCCGGTTATTTCACAAAATACAAGTGTACTCATAGTTTCCTGATGAGAAGAATGATGGTCCCATAGTGAAAGTTTTGAACTGGGCTCATGATTAAGGTCCAGTGCCTGGCTCTGCCAAAATGGCCCAGTATGGCACATGGGATACTGTAGTGCTCTGGAGCCTCCTGACATCAGTGGAGTTATGCTAGTAGGAAATCTGTCCACAGGCTGGGAACTTTGTCAAAACCACTGCCATGGAGAGTAAATGGAGCAAACTTGGTGCACTTTAGGCAAACGTTTGACTCTAATGGTTTCAACAGGGATGATTCTAGCCTCAGCAGAAGGTTTGACTAGACAATCTTTTGCGGTCCTTCTCAGCCCTATTTTTATGATTCTATAATTTCCTTACGCTTCCGTTGGACACTATTTTGGTATAATTAAACCCATCTAATTAGTTTCAAAACAGACCAAGTCTGTTGGCCGTTCTCCAACTTCTTCATGAGGTTGTCTGCATATGACCTGATATCTCAGTCTATCACCTGCAAGGTAACAATCATGACTCAGGACTCAGGATCATGTATTCTGTGCTATTTAAGGATATCTAATCACTGACTCCTACCCCTGTGTTGCCTTTGCTTAGGCAAACAAAAATCCAGCAGCTCAATATGGGTTTGTAGTATTTTAAAACCTTCTTCACTGCAAATAATCAAATCTGATAGTAAAGGCAAGTCAATGCTCTGATTTGGGTCATCGTTCACATTATATCTATACTCTTAAGCTGATAAACCAAAGAACTAGAATGAATTTCAGTCTAGTAATTTTCTTTTTGCCCATTACCGCATATACAAGAGAATATAGCTGCACATTTCTCTAAAGCTGAGAAATAAAGAATTGTTTAGATGTTTATTAAACAACAGAATTGAATCAAATTAGTCACATTATGTTTTCTGGGCTATGGGAGTTAATTGGAAGACACAATGAGTTACTAAAATCTGAAATACCAAATGTATTTTCAAGTAAGTTAATAACAACTAGAATCAAAATGCAACTGTGGAACACAGACATTTTAATTTCTACCAAAGTACTTTTGCAAATGAGTTTACTCTTGACTCATTGTAAGAGGTTTATCAAACTCAGTTTCCTGAGTGGTACATATTTAAATATCATCCAAGAATATTTTAATTAAGTTGGCCAAATCACATTCATTATAATATACTGGGTAGTGTTTAAAAATCCATGGTAAAAGTAGCTGGGCCAGCTTTGAGGACTTGTATTTCATGGTAAAGGAGACATAGAATATTAATGGCCTATCTGGAGAGTAGGAACATGAGGTAGGTGGAAGAAAAGCTGTGGCACTGACCTTAAAAAAAGCTTATCTGCATATCCTACATGAAACAAAATCTAACCATCCTTACTCCATCTTTCTCAATGAAGAACTTCACATATTTTAATGGGACTGCGGAGTAAGTTACTACTCAGCATGAGTAATGGAGGCAGATTTAGATCCCCAATGTGCGGGGTCAGATCATGGCTTGAATTAAGCGTAAAAATAGGATATAAACCAGGATAACACAATGTTACCAATACCTCTGCAATGCTGGTTGGAGTTGCCTCTTTGAATATACTTTCTGAAGTCCAAGTCCAAATATCACCTGGGATTTTAGCTCCATCTTCATCCATACCCACAATGAAGGTCATGGTTTAACAGCATGGCAGCCTAAGTCTTTATTCCATTTTAATTGGCATGTATACTTACCTCCATTTGTTAGCGCCCTAGTTTGAAATGCATGTGAAGTATTTACAATGAATTGCATGTGAAATGTCAACACCATTGTCAGAAGTTGACTGCCCATTAACCTCTTTCAAAATGGCTGAAACTGGTTTAAGATAAACCTAGACGGATACAGTATCAGACCTAATGGATTAAGGTTAAATCGGTTTATTAAACTTCTATCCCAGATCTCCTCCAGATTCAAGTTAACTCACAGTCCTCCAGCATCCCAGGATATTTTGCACCTTTCCTGCAACCTCCCTCCCACCTCTCCCCTTGGGTGGGCTAGCCTTGGCCCAAGTTGTCTGCTCCAGCTGAGCAGGGATGCATGGTCTAGCGCCCTGCAGGTTTTGGTCTGTGGCTGGCTGCATTTCTGCAATCAAAAGTGAATGTCTGTTCACTTGCTTATCGGTTCAATCTACATAGCTTAGACCAGCGTTTTTCAACCTGTGGGTCACGACCCAAAAGTGGATTGCAAGAATATATGAAAGGTCACAAACAAACTTAAAAAATAGATCAACAAACTTTAAAAACGGATTCTCCTTTAAAGGAGAAAAATGTGGGAAACTTTGCCTTTTCTCTTGCAGACTGATAGGGTTCCAGCCTGCAAGAGGCTGCTTGGAGCCCCCCATGTCCCACCCCACCCCCTGCCCCACACACTGCGGGGAGCTGGGGCCTGGGGGCAGGAGAGGGGTAGCGGGTTAGGAATGAGGGGCACTGGGTCAGGTCTGGCCATCGATGTTTACAAATGGGTTATGGTACAAAAAAGGTTGAGAACCACTGGGTTAGACTAGCTTGCGAAGATTGAATCAATTCAACCTCAGGCTTTTTGATAGTCTGTACTTAGCCTGAAAGTCAGCACATTACTTTTAAAGCAGATTTGTTTCTAAACTCATAATGGCATCCAGCTTTTTTTTTTTTCTTTTTGCGTATCTGCAAAGCATGTTTGCATAAGTGGGTTGTTCTATAAATTCAAGTAAAAGACATGGATCAAGCCCCTGGGACTATCTCCCCTGACTATAGTACAGAGCTTAAAGTGTATTTACCTGCAGGTAACTAAAAGCAAAATGTGCACTATTAAAAGTGAAGGCTGAAATCTAGGGAAGTAGCTGGTTGCATTGTTTTTCATTTGAAATGCTGTTTAACAAGGTTGCAGAATCTGTGAAATACAAACCCAGTTTAGCCACCAGATGGTGCAGGTGGAACTTGGCCTGATCTATGGGAGCCTCAGTAACACAGGCAGAGGTTTTCATAAATTAGTATCAGTGTTTGGTGAATGGCAAAGGAGAGATGAAAGCTGGTAGGAGAAGAAATTTTATTTATTTGCAATAGTCTAACAGCATTTCAAACAGCAGGGAGTGATAAAACAGGACGCAAAAGGGTGTCCCTGTAGAATAACCGTGTGTCACAGCAACTCTGTACTTTAACGCTGTGATGCTAAGTCCTGTGCAGTGCAGTCATCAAGAATCTGAGTTGTCTTCAAAGGCCTAACAAAGACTTTGCTATTTTTTTTATCCCCATTCCTTTCTTAGCATTTGGGGCTCAATTCTCTTGCCTTTATCGGGAGGATTTAATCTTGCAAAACCATTTTTGTTGTTATCTAGAGACTATCAAACTCCCTCATCTCATCACACCAGGAAGTATAATCTTCTGTTTTTTGGCAACTTTCCACCCTCCTCTTGGTCCCTAAACACAGAAGCCAGATGGCTGGTATAAAAAGGAGGAGGAAAAAAAGTGCTTCTCTTCATCTCTCCCCCCCATCACATTCATCAATGAACCCATTTTCACTTTCACTTCTGTTTTGTGCAACTAGTTCTGCAGAAATCTTTGCTGGCAGCTAAAGTATTCTCTGTAATTTAACAGTCTGGGCCAGATTCTCAGCTGGTAAAAACTGACTTCAAGGAAGCTAAGCCAATTTATACCCACTGAATTGATCCCATCAGTATTTTATTTTGTTTTTCTTCTACATTTCATTTTGCTTTCTATTCCAGCTGTTCTCTAATCCTTTCCCCAGCAGGTTGTTTATTGTTTTTCTAAATACCCCCTACCTTTGCAGCTATTTCTTTACAGCCCTATTTAAGTATGTGGTTTCTGTTATCTGTTCTTGGTTAAAAATGAAGCAGAATGAAATCCAATTACAGCCATTCCATCCATTTGGTTAAAAAAAATAAATTTTCTACTTTTCTCCAGCTGATTTTCCACACAGTGTATAATTCCAATAAAAAGAAGGGCAAAAATTCTCTCCACGCTAGCCTAGCACTCTGCCCCTACTAATGTTGGCAGAAATCTGAGCTATGTGCAGATTTGAGAAGAGAAACAGGCTCTTGAAAACAGCATCCCATCAGTGAGGGGATTAGAAATTAGAGCTGTTGAATTGTTTTTCCAATGAAAAATTGAGTATTGTTTGAAAGCAACCATGAAAAATATTGCTGAATTGTTTGTAATTTTGGCAAAAAAAAATCAAAATGAAAAATAAACCGATGACTTTCCCTGTTGTTTTAAATGGTAATATTTCTTTCCTCTTCCTTGTTTTTGTGTGTCATCCCTTCTTCTTTCCACTAGAAAGCATGAAAAAAGTAAAAATGTTGTAAACACGAATCCTGTCAAGTCCTCCTCTTCTTCAGCAATCCCTCGCTGTCAAGGATGATTGTCTTCCATAATTGTCCTATCTGTGGGTTTGAACATGGCTGATGAGGCCCATCCAGGATTGACAGACTCTGTTGCAACTCAGACATGTGTTTCTGTGCGGGGTGGGTGGCTCCAGATTCTTGATTTGGCGTGTGACACGCTGTTCCTGCTTTTCCATCTCCTGTGGTTGGAGGAGAGGAAACAGGTAATGAGACTCTATATGGGTTATGGGAACTCTTGAAATAATATCTACTACATTTAAAACTCCCTCAAGATCCCCTTTATATTAAAGTTAGTATTGTGCTCCTTCATCTAGCTCTCATTCCCATTAGTACTACATATTTAATGATACTGTGAAGTTTATTTATAGTTGGTTCATTGCCAAGCAGGAATTTTTGAAAGAGCTTGTAATTATGCTGAAGCTATTAATGAACAGTAAAAAACCTAACCTTTCTTTATCTCTAAATGTTTATCCTTATCCTAATCATTGTTATCCCAATCAATATTTGAGTAATTATAAATACCCCCCATAAGTTTCATCCTGGTGGGTATCCTTTATCTGTAAAATGTTTGTCTGATTTGCTTTCTCTAACTGCCCTGAAAGCAGAGCCAAGATCCAAGGCTCCTCGGCTACTGCCCTTAGAATCATTAATTTCTCTTCAAACTGTGTCATTTACTGTACAGTCACAAAATATATGCACCGAGGCAAATGATCTATGACCAGCTGGCAGCTGGAAACCGAATACAGGATGCCGAAGGCAACACTTTACACAACTAGGTAGGATAATAATACAGGAGAGGAAGCTAAAGAGTAACTTGTTGCTGATGGACTGTTTAAGGCACTGAAACAAGCATTTGCAATGTGCGTTGAGGCAGCTTGCACAGGAATTCTTGCAACTCCTTGTTTCCACCTAGCCGAGCTTGCAGCAGATGCAGAGCTGTCATGTAATAATTGTATGAGGGACAACATGTGTCCTGGTTAGTGAGCTGAAATTACCATACATTGGGTTATTCGACTTTCCTGTATGAATTATTGACCCAGTTTAACAGAGAGGCTATTGGCAGAACAAGCAAAAGGTCAACCCAGGAGCTCACACATAACAGCATGAGGCATTTGCTTGAATGGCAATGGGATCAGCTATTATCTTTGAGAAGCCTGCAGCCTGGTCTCAACATGCCACAGTACTGGGACTTCATGGTTCTGGAGGTTACAAACACTTGGCAATGACTTGCACTCAGATGTGTGGGAAGGTGGGTGCAAAAGGGGGACAGGGTAATCAAAAAGGAAAATGCAGTTTATAAACATTTTTAAAGTATTTTCCCTAAAACAGAAGGCATGAACTGCCTTGTGACTTAAGGGGACCACCAGACCTGGGTACCAGTTTAGACTTACTTAATCTCAATGTAAGATGACGGATAGACACCTGGTAAACTACCCATGGATAGAGCCTGTTTAATGTTGTAAGACCTGTTCTCTCTGAAATGTTTTTTTTCTACATAAATAACCACTTCCAGGGACCGGAGAGTCTGAGACTGTTAACACATGGCTATACGAGGGCTTCAGGCTCAAACCACTCAGACTGGGGAAACTGGGGATTCCTATACACGTGCTCGGGGGTAGGAGAGGCGTTTTAATTAGAGCGGGTCCCAGAGACCCACTCTAATTAAAACGCTACAGTGCCATGTGTATTAAGCCACCACATGGTTAAAAATGGCTGCAGAACACTTTAACTAAAGCTCATTTGACAAGCTTTAGTTAAAGCTCCCAGCAGCCATTTTTAAACCCACAGGGCACGTCCAAACAAGTGCGGTCATGCGGTATGTGGCGCTGCAAACATGTTTTCAGCACCACATACCTCGCTGTCCGGGGTTCTCTACACTGCAAGGGCACGCTGCCCAAGTGTGCACTAGTTTTTTTTTGACCCCTGGATATACAGTGGTCAAAAAATAAACATGGAAAAAAACCCCAAAGCAGCGCACACTCGGGCAGCATGCACTGCTAAAAAGTAGAGCTGGGCCACTTGGAGCTGTGCTATGGCTGCTGGCCAGGCTCTGCCTGGCAGGATCACCGTGGCTCTGGAAGGCCCCCAGCACCCCAGGAAAGGCTGCTGGGGCCAGCACAGCCTCCCCTATACCACCTGGGACAACTTGCCACGCGCCAATGCACACATGGCATAGGTGTTCCCTGGGAACAAGAAGCGGCAGCGCAAGGTGTACTGACACTACTTGTGCCCGGGGAGCCAAACATCTATGCACGTCTGGACATACCCACAGAGCCTTACATACGTGACACTGGGGC